TCTTCTGCTCAAAATCCTACAATAAAAGGAGAAAGTAAGAAAAGAAAAAGAATAAATATATATCAATAGGTAGATGGAGACTAAACCTTTAAAAACATTTTTTTGAGACTAAAACTTTTATGGAAGAATATTATCTATAACTCTGACAATTTAGAAATCTGAGATATTGCTGTTTTCCTAGAAGAATCTAAATTACCAAAATTGAATAAATAAAAAAACCTGAATAGGTCCAGCATCATGAAAGGGATGCAGAAGATTTATCATTCGAAATGGTACTAGGCCTAGTGTTTGTTGCTACAAAGGAGGAAAAAAATCCAAAACAAACATTCCTATAATGAACTTAAGGCCCACTAAAAAAGTTTTCAAAATCAACTGTAAACAGTTTTTATTTAATAGCACACAGGTTGGATCTAGCAAAGCAAGAGAGTGTGACTGGTTAGATTACTTCTTGATTCTTTTAAATTAATGGCCTTTATAATTTTTTCCCCAAATCAAATACCTTGTATATAGAAATGACAAACAGAAACAGGATTTTTTGTTTTGTTTTTTGCATTATTTTTGTTCTCTGGAAACCTCAAGATGGCAGCATTTTACTTTAGAAGAAGGTGTTTATTGCCTCGTAGTACCTATCATGCTTTTCTATTTATAACAGCACCCAGGAGCCAGGCTGTCGATAGGGAGAGGGGAAGGGAGACAAGGTGGTGTATGTATTTCAAAATATTCTGACCTTTTACATTCTTCTCTAATTTACCATTCACAAAGAACCTCTGTAAATTGGTACTTGAGGTAAGCCTTCAGGTAAGCAATTTCAGGTATTTTATTCTAGCTACATCTGTTCCACTCCAGCTAAATAGCTGATTTTTCTGTTCCCAACATGCCACTTGCATAGAAACAAATTTTATTTTTCATCTTAGAAATTAGGCAGTAGAGAGTCAATTTTATAATAGTGTAATAGTATCAGACCCTGCCCAGACTGAAATGGTCTCCTTGCCTCCTTAGAGCCTCTTTTCCAAACTTCCTATCATGTCGTTCTCTTATACCCAACCATCCTATGGCTTTTCATTGCAATTAAAATAAGCCAAACTCCTTACGGTGAACTGCACACTCTATAGGGTCTGGCCCTCCCTATTTCTGTGACCTCTGGCCCTCCCTGCTTCTGACCTCATCTTTTATCATTCTCCTTCTTGCCTGTTCACTTTGTTCTAGCCACCAGTGTCTTGCTGCTGTTTAACACAGTGAGACTGTTCCACCTCAGGGCCTTTGCAATTCCCGCTTGTCTCTAATTTTTGCGTAGTTTGCTTTCTTATTTAAGTCTCAAGTGTCACTTCTTCAGACAGGACTTCCTGATCACTGTCCTTCTCCCCCCAACCTTAACCTTGCCCTGCTTTTTTTTTCTTCATTGGAAGAATAATACTACCTAATAATTTATTGTTTGCCTTTCTCGAGCACAGTTAAGTTCCATGGAGGATTGGGACTTTGTCTTGTTTACTCCCGTCTCCTCTTAGAACCTAGAAATATGCCTGACACATAATAGGTGCTCAATAACTAGTTGTTGAATGAATGAAAAAGTGAATCAAAGTTCAGTCAATCTGATGTTTCTATTTTTTTTTTGAAGGTTTTATTTATTTATTTGAGATAGAGTGAGAGAGAGAGCATGAGCTGGGGTGGGAGGAATGACAGAGGGAAAGGGAGAAGCAGACTCCCCACTGAGCAGGGAGCCCAATACAGGGCTCGATTCCAGGACCCTGGGATCATGACCCAAGACGAAGGCAGACGCTTAACTGACTAAGCCACCCAGGCACCCCTGCTGTGTCTATTTCATCTCTTTTTGTATGTGGCAGTATGCCAGGTACTTGGAAAGTAGCAGTCTAAACCCTAATGAGGCAGGCTTACTGACACTAATTCATTGAATTTTTTTAGACACCCATGATTATCTCTGTTTATTTATTTATCAAAGACATTTGATTTCTTTCCCGAATTGTCACTAAAGCAAAAATGGTCAGATAAATGATAGCAATTAGGTATCTTTAGCATTTAAGTAATTTCAAAAACATCAAAATTAGCATCAGATTATTCTATAATAGATCTGTGGAATTAGTTCTTAGATGAAGTAAATTTTACTGAGAAGTTATGCAAGTTACCAAAAAGAACTTGTCACTTATGTCAAAAGAGTATCTGCATTACTAATCCTGGATGTTATTTTGTCTGCAAAACAGCTCTGAGGCATAGAATATTCAGGCTGCAAAGAGAAGAGTGTAAATAATTAAGATGTAAATTCAATTATGGCTATGTCCCCATTACAGTTCTTTTTTTGGTAATAGCAATATACCGTGTTCTCAGTTTATAAATGGAATTCGATTGGATGTAAGCATGTGGAAGGAGAAATTATGAGAAGTTCTTGGTAAATAAAAAGCAATTCATTAAATATTCCCAGCTGTATGGATCTAGTGTACTCAGAATATTTGATTCAGTTTTGCAACTACATAGAATCCCAAAATTTAATTATAATATAACTTAAATAGTATTCTGTTCTGAAATATATTAAGATAATTCTCTACATTCTTTTTTTTAGCAATAATAAACAATCGTTAAGCTGAAAACTATTAAATACCTTCTTATATGAAGTGGAATTAGGAATTAAAACAAATAGCTTGTTCTTTCATTATAACTCACTGAGTGTTCCTGTCTGTCATTTCTGTAAATGCTCATTAGTTTAGCTCTTAGTATTTTAAAAAATAATTTTGATTATTTTGTTCATCCTTACCATATTATAACTAATAGTAATATCTGTAATTTTTTTTAAGATTTTATTTATTTATTAGAGAGAGAGAGACAGCAAGAGAGGGAACACAAGCAGGGGGAGTGAGAGAGGGAGAAGCAGGCTTCCCACTGAGCAAGGAGCCCGATGTGGGGCTTGATCCCAGGACCCTGGGACCATGACCTGAGCCGAAGGCAGATGCTTAACAAGTGAGCCACCCAGGAGCCCCAGTAATATCTATAATTTATAAAGTGTTTACAATGTGCTAGGCACATTAATCAAGCACATTCAGATTACTTGATTGATACTAATGGACTAGCCTCGGAACCCAGTCACTATCTGTGATACATTTTCAATGAGAAAATGGACTCAAACTTTAAAAGCACTGACTTAACAAATGAAACAACTTCTTCTTTTTCTTCTTCTTTTCCTCCCCCCTCCCCTCCTCCTGCCCCACCTGCTTTCCCTCCTCCTTCTCTTCCTCCCCCTCTTCCTCTTCCTTCTTCTTCTCCTTCTCCTCCTCCTCCTTTTCCTTCTTCTTCTTCACAAATGAAACTTCTTAACACAATATATTTATAAGAAGAGAACTACCTAAATTGGGTGACTGCAATGAATGGAAACCTATGCAGCATGACAAATTGGATTAAATTAGAATAACTTTTGTGTGCAGGAGAATATTGAAGAATATTTTATTTCCAAATAGTGTTCTTGGCATTTAAAGATGTTAATGCTGACAGCATTGTTCTCTGCCTGTTTGCAAAACTACAAAGTCTGATGCATGCATTACTTGCAGTTACTTTCACAATAAACATCATCCATGTGAATTTGATCTCTTGACTGTGGTGTGGCAAAGTACTTTAGAAGCAGTATCTCTCTACCCTCTCTGCTAAAATTTGCCTTTGCCCAAATAGCCTCATCATCTGTGATTGCCATAGTTGGCTAATTTTGCTGCTGCTTTGTCTACACATCAGCATTGATATGATTCTGTGAAACCTTGTTAGTGTTTTTCAGCTCACTCTTGCTTTGACTCACTACAGATTAATTCATTATAGGGAGGTCATTTTGATGGAGAACTTAAAATCTCCTTAAAGTGGTGTGACAAGATGGCAATTTTCTTCTGGCATGCCAGGGTAGATATAATGGACATCTGTGATTTATCCATACTCAGCATCGATTCCCCTATATTGAGGTAAAAATATCCTCCTTTAGGGAACCACTCTCTTTCATTGACTCAGTTGAGGCCTATGGTTCAGCTGGAGTTGAACCTTCCTCTGGAGCCAGTAGTTGGTACATGAAAGTTGAGAGCAATAATATGCCCTGGCCATAGAGACTAGTTCAGAGGTAGTTCATAGAGACTGTGATCCAGGCAGTCCAGTCACAGCTGTAAATATCAGTTTAGGACTTTCTGCTGGAACCAGTGGGAAAGAGAAAGTCTTCTGTTTGCTGGGGTTGCTAAGCCTACACCTTCTGATGGTCATTTTGCCACCACTTGAGCTCAGCCTGAGAATGAAAGCAACATGGGGTAAACCAAGCTGGGAGATGGAGAATATACAAACTACATTGCTTGAGTACCTACTAGCTTCACCGGAAGCCGGTAGTAAAACCTTAATATTACATTAGCTTAAGTTACATTAGCTTGTTAGTTGAGTTGGTTTCTGCCTTTTGCAACCAAAAGAATCCTGAATAACATAATGAGGATGACTAGAAACCACATCTCAAGAACAGTGATGTGGCTATATTTGCCTTCTCAAGGTTGTAAACAGTTGACATTTTCCTGAAGAGCAGAAAGTGTGCTTCAGGTTGCTGGTGCTGTGTTTTAGAATTCTGCTTTTCTATCCCTTATCCTATTTGTAAAACTAGAGTGGCAGAGAATAATAATTAGGGAAATGCTGGTGGTATATCATCTTGTCAACTCTGTAATCATAAAACAAATCTTAGTATTTGGTTGAAAGATACAGTAATCAGTAGAAGGGGAAATTTCAATTGAGGTACCAAAGAATTTCCCTGTGATGGACGTGCTTTTGAATTTAGGCTCTGTTTTCCAGCTTTGTGATCATGGTCAAGTTACTTAATCTCTCAGCCACGTTTGCCTCATATTTAGACTAGATATAATAGTCCTGCCTAATAGGGCTTTTTACAAAAAATAAATGGGTTAATTTAAGGAACAAGTTTAGAACAGTGCCTGGGCATAGTAAGTACTCAAAATACATTGGTTATGATTATCATTCCCCTGTGTTTTTAGGCATTACAACATGTGGTCCCAGAAAGGAACTCCAGATTTGTACATGATGATACCATTCTCATCTGTTTCTCTAGACAAGTTTGGACATGAGTCTGGCAGCTCAAGGTACAAAGACAGACCCTAGGCTAGACTTTAGCATGTTTTCAGTTTCTTGTGGGTTAATGGTTAATATAGAAATGTAACAAAGTATGACTGCTGTATCAGGATTGTATTCAGCCTTGAAGCAATTTCCATTTTTATATGTTCACTTACACCAGTTTATAAGATACGAAATCAATGAGAAGAGAACTGTGTTGGCAAGAACTATGCCTAGTAAATTTTAGAAAAAGTGTTTTCTTAGACTATGTATGCCTTTAAATATTGTTATTGAAAAATTTTTATTTCCTTGCAAAAATGTGATTATAGCATTACAAGGAAGACATTGTAGTTGCACAATAGCCTTCATTCAGCTCTCTTCAAGCAAATATTGTAGATGTCTAGTGTAAGTACAACCACATGTTATAATGGGAAATAAGTAAAAGGATGTAACATCTAAAATTGGGAAAATCATGGAACGCTTGGCTTTTTGGTTCATTTTTAGGCCATTATTTGTTGGCTTGAATTGCTCAGTGTGAACTTCTGATATAGGAACAAAAATTAGAGAATGAAAATAAAGCATTAAAATAATTTAGTGATTTTTTTACCAAGGTAATTGATAACAGTTTTGAGTAAATAATTACCCATATCTCTCATTTATGACTGCTTTTAATACTTTTCTGCCTCCTTCATTGTCAGACTGCCAAGGTTCTTGCTTCTAATCTGCAGTGGAGAGGGAAATTAGATTGATTGATTGCTTTCTTTCTCTCTCTTTCTCTCTCTCTCCCTCCGTTCCTCCCTCTCCCCATGCCCAGTGTGGAGCCCAACATAGGGCTTGAACTCACAGCCCTGAGATCAAGACCTGAGCTGAGATCCAGATTCAGATGCTTAATGGACTGAGCTACCCACGTGCCCCAGATTCTTTCTAAAATAAAAGTAAACAGGCTCTGAATAAGAGTCAATTTTGTAACGGTGAATTTAAGTGACATTAGAGTGTTGGTTTGTGATTTTCTCCCCCTGGATATTTTTTTTAAAATTGTATTTATTTATTATTATTTTTTTGAGAGTGAGTGCACAACAATGAGTGGGGGGAGGGACAGAGGGAGAGGGGGAGAAGCAGACTCCCCAGTGAACAGGGAGCCCCACATGGGGCTTGATCCCAGAACCCTGAGATCATGACCTGAGCCGAAGGCAGATGCTTAACCAACTGAGCCACCTATGTGCCCCTCCCCCTGTATATTTAAAGGCTTCTGAAGTTACTGACTTCCAATTTTCTCTTCATATCCAGATGAGGATGTAGCCTTTGGTTAAATAATATGCTTTAATAACAAATTAAAATTTTCAGGGACTTTTTCTATAGCTAAGCTCTATACTTATACATAATTTATTTTTACTTGCAATGGGAGTATGTCCTTCCAATGGGAGTATTTAATGTCAAGAGGAACATATCTAGATTCTATATTTTGTATCATTTGTTCTTCCAAATTTATCCCTTTCCCTTCTCTATCAGTCCAAGACAATCATGACCTCATTATTGCTTCCTGGGTATACCTTGCTTATATGTAATATTTAAACTGTTGCTTTGAGTTAAGGCATGTTTTCCTATCCTTGCAACCTTACCTTTCTTTCCTTTCTTTTCTTTTCCTTTTCTCTTCTTTTCTTCTTTCCTTCCCTCCTTCCTTCCTTCCTTCCCTTCTTCCTTTCCTTCCTTCTTTTCCCCTTTCCTTTCCTCCTCCCTTCCTCCATCCCTTCTTTCCTTCCTTCCTTCCTTCTTTCCTTCCTTTTAAAGTAATCTTTACACCCAACGTGGGGCTGGAACTCATGACCCTAAGATCAAAAGTCGCATGCTCTACCAACTGAGCCAGCCAGGTTCCCCTCTTCCCATGTTCCTTAAGTCATCTCACGGACAGATGTTTTCTTGACTCTTAACTCTGGACCACATGAATCACTTCCCATTCTAACTGCCTGTAACTACATAGTTTTTCCCATTGGGGAGCTGATCAAATACTATTACTTATCAATCTCTATTTGGGTGTATATATGCTTATTATCTCTAAGTATGCTGTTATCTACTCTGAGCAAATGTATGTTCCTTCTTCAGTGCAGAGAAGAAAAGAATATTATTAATATCTCTTTTATATTCTTCCCATTATCTTGTCTTATCTTTATACAAAGCCTTCTTTGTATAAAGGAGTCTGGATGTTGTCATGCTTCATTGGAGTGGGTGGAAAGAAGCAATTCCTTGATCACTCATGTATATGGCTTTAAAGGAAACTTGGGTTCAAAGGATCCAGTTGCTTACACAGAAGTGAGATATCAGGTCCACTTGTAAATATAGGATGGTTTCAGGCATTTTTTTCAGATAGAGGATTTCTTGTCTTAAGCATATGGTTCAGATATATGATTGATTCATTCTCTAATCATGGACCATTAATATGTCCAATTATGGAAGAGCATCATTTTTTAGAAGAGCATCTTTTTATAATTGTTATCCCCGTCTCCCATCTTTATGTTTTGTCAAAGGGAATCTTTTCCATTATGTTTCTTCTCCACTTTGAAACCACTATAATGGAAAATTTGCTCTACTGATTTTTTTTACCTTCCAGATGAAAGTTATTTTCCTCTTACTCTAACTACATGTTAATGAGTTACATAAATCCTATGGGTTTTCTTGACCCAAATTCCAAGTGGTGTTTTTTTTTTAATCTCACAACATGGTAAACACTTATTAGAGATGAATAAAATCCTTCCTGGAAATAAAATGTATATCATTAATTGGGCAAGCCATCAGAGTCTCCACTTAATAATTCATGGAACCCAGTAAAGGATTCAAAGGTGTCTCAGTTGTTTGATTACAACAGGATGCTAGTGATGGTAAGGTCAAAAGAGCCTCATATCAGCCCAATTAGTTTTATGCTGCTGAAATTTCTGCTCTAAATATGTACACTGTTTTTTTCAGTGTAGGCAGCTATCTCAATGATCCACCTGCCCTGTCAGGAAGGAACTGAGTGGCAGCCTCATAACTGTGTGTGAAGTTCCAAAGCAAAGAGCCCACATTTCTATAGATTCAGGGTCAGTGTATGTCAAACCATGGATATTTATTTCTAAATAATCTCAGAAATTAAAGATTTCTGCAATGCTGTGTTCTAATTTGTGTTGACCCAGCCCCATTCTTCTTCTGGCACCATAACTGGCCCACAAGATAACACAGGGCATCAACCTGCCATGATTTCACCACCTGTACTCCTACATTCTTCCCCAAAGCTTATTATAAAGGAGAGTTAATTACAGATCTAACTACACAAAGCAGACACATATAACACATAAAAGCTTTTTATTGCCAGGTAAATGCTTTCTCAGTTGCAGTCAGATTGAATGGCAAGTGATGATACCCAAGGATGGATAATTACAGGTCTAAATTCCCAGTAGGTTATACTGAGGTTGTATCCTGTACTCCCTCCTATTTCAATGTAGAGGCATGAATTTGAATTAGGTAAAACTTTTTACTATACCTGTTATAGCTAAAAACTTATATTTCTTGATTTAAAAGGGCAAAGGATTAGTATAAACTGTATTTTGTATTTAAAATACATTAAATAACAGGATAATACTGGCATTTGGTGTTCTTATAATTTTATTCAAAGAGAATTCTGATATTTTCTCATTTATTTCCCACCCCTTTCTTGTGAATAACATGTTCCTTCATAGGTTCTTGGTGGAGATTTGAAAATTTGAAGGGAAAATGTCATATAAGTGGAAAGGTTTGAAAAATAATCCAAATTTTTATTCCGTTACACTTACAAGCAACTTTTGAGCTCTTATTTTTTAGATGTCTGGTGGAAAATAACTGTTTATAACTGTAGTACTTAGTTTTTGTTGTCACTTTCTACTTTCTGGGTATTGTCCAGTTGTTCATTTACTCTTTGCTTATAGAGGATTGTGGTTCAACAATCATACGGTAGACCATCTTTATCAATTTTCAGTGTGGCCACACATTAATGAAAGCTCTCTCATGGAAAATTTTTATGGTTTATTAAAAAAAGGATCTATTTGTACAAGATTATTCTATTAACAATTTTGGGTGTCCTATTGACATCAGTTATCCCATTTAAAAATTAAAAATTTATTTTTACGTAAGCAATACATTCACATAGAAAAAATTTTAAGAGTTATAAAAAACATATATGCAGTAAAAAATGAGCCTCCTTACTCATCTCTAGGGCAACCACTGTTACCAACATTTCTTTTACCTTCTGGAGATATCCTATGCATATATACACAAAGAAATCCACCTTGCTTTTTCGTATAACAACATATCTTGGGGATCTCTTCATATTCAGCAATTCTTTTGGCTTTTATGGTGGATATAATATTCCATCACAATTCTTAAATGCACAAAGGACCTCTGATCTTTTAAGACATATTTCAAACGAAAATACATTTCTTTTCCTGGTAATCAGTTTATCTTCCTATTCTAATTTAAAGTATTTTTGCTCAAGAACATTAACATAATATGCATGCTTATGCAAATGCCATGTGGTTTCCAGTACTGACCTTTCTAGCTAAGTGGCTTTGGGCATATTACTCTCTGAATATGAGTTTTTTCATTTGTAAAATGGGATAGTATATCTCAAAGGATTGATTGTTGGAAAGATTAAATAAACTTGTGAGCATGACACATTTTAGCTCATTACATGGCACATAGTGCTATGTTTAGAACATTTACATCTATATTTACCTGTGTATCTATATCTATATATCTGTATACATATCTGTGTTCATGTCTACAAGAATGCCCATATCTTTCCTGTATGAAATTAAAATTGGGGCATTTGGGTGGCTCAGTCTGTTAAGTGTCTGCCTTTGGCTCAGGTCGTGATCCTGGAGTCCTGGGATGGAGCCCCGTGTCAGGCTACTTGCTCAGTGGGGAGTCTGCTTCTCTTTCTCCCTCTGCCCTTACTCCTGCTTGTGCTCTCTCTCTCTCTCAATACATAAATAATATCTTTAAAAAAAAAAAGTTAAAATTAGGGTGACTGCCTCATCTATAACCAATCCCATGTTTCTATATTCCTTTTCTATGCTTTTTCTTCATGGCACTTATTGACATAAGTAATATAGCACATCTGACATTATATTATATGATTATTTACTGTTTGTTTCCACTAGACTATAAGCTCCAAGAGAGCAAAGACCTTGTCTAGCTTATTAACCACTGTGTCCTACAGAGCCCAGAATTATGCCTGACATGTAATAGATATTCAATAAATATTTGCTGAATAAATGAATGAATTTACTAAATATTTATTAAATGTCTATCTTAGACCCTACAATGAACTTGACTCTTACAATTAAAGTGTACATTGAAGATTTACCCATTATCCTTTTAAATATGGTGCATGCTATGTGATAGAATCTTAGAATCAAAGTAATAAGATGTGCTTGATGTACACTATCACAACTTCTGGTCAAATAAAATAATTAGTATTTGTTAGAATCAGACTGCAGCAGGTGAAAGGGATCTGAGCGATCAGGATACAGGTTCCTCAGTTCATAAATAAAAAGAATTCAGTCTGAGGAGCAAAGCTTGAATTAGAAAATGAAGTCTGACTCATATACTTTCTACCATATTAATTTGCCTCTGAAACACCTACTGTGTGTTCAATACTTTACAAACCACTATAGGAGTCTAGGGTTATAAAGCAACATTTCTGTCCTCAGAAACCTTATTTAAAAAGATAGGTCTAGGGCGCCTGGGTGGCTCAGTTGGTTAAGCGACTGCCTTCGGCTCAGGTCGTGATCCTGGAGTCCCGGGACCGAGTCCCGCATCGGGCTCCCTGCTCAGCAGGGGGTCTGC